TGGGATTGTTTTGCAAAACACAACTTACTTTTTTTCCCCAAAAAATGAGCAAAAATGAGCAAAAAATGAGCAAAAATGAGCAAAAAATGAGCAAAAAAGGAGCAAAAATGAGCAAAAAATGAGCAAAAGGGGGCCAAAAAACGAACTCAACAGGCGCAAAAAACTTGCATGCAACTTGCATGCGTTTGGGGCTTTTCAGACTTTTACTGCATGCCAAAGACAGGAGAAGTTGTTGGAGAAATTAAATGAAATTAGTGGCTTTTTTGGATCAAAAAGATGGTTTTTAGAGCACAAGAAAGCCATTAAAAGAACTAAAACAGAAATAAAAGTTTGAAGTTTTGAAAACAAAAAAAACTGGGAAAAAAGAGGCCACAAAAAAGTTCATTTAGTTCAAAAGAATTAATCAAAAACCACTGCAGATTCCACTGAGACATTTAAAACACTAAAAGGCCACTTAAGAGATTTATTAAACTTTTAAGAAACAATAAAAGAATTAAACTCTAAAGAAGAAACTTAAGAGCCCCCAGAAGACACTCTAGCCTTTACAGGAAACACTGCGGAAGACTGCAGCAGCGCAGCACCTGCTGCAGCACCTGCTGCAGCACCTGCTGCAGCACTTGCTGCAGCACCTGCTGCAGCACCCGCTGCACCACCTACTGCAGCACCTGCTGCAGCACCTGCTGCAGCACCCGCTACACCACCTACTGCAGCACCCGCTGCAGCACCCGCTGCAGCACCCGCTGCAGCACCTGCTGCAGCACCTGCAGCAGCAGCAGCAGCAGCAGCAGCAGCAGCTCACCGACGCAGACCCTGCCAATGACTGCAGTGCCAGCGACTGAGGCCTGGACCACGGGAATGTGGGGCCCCAACTCAGCCTCTATGGCGGAGTAGAAGTGCTCGCTGCCGCCGGGGGCCACCAGGCAGTAAGAGTTGGTGAGTTTCGCGAAAACCCCCACTTCGTTCGAGGACTCGAAGTGCGTCCCTGCGACAAACCCTAAACCCTAAACCCTAAACCCTAAACCCTAAACCCTAAACCCTAGGCCCTAAGCCCTAGCCCTGCCCGCGCGGCCGCCCCGGACGCCCGCAGGCCCCAGGGGGGCCCCTCCGGCTCGCAGGTGACCCAGGTGGGGACTTGGGCTGCTGCAGGGCCCCCGCGGTACCCAAGGACACGCGGGGGGGGCCCCGGGGGCCCCTGGGGCCCCTCGGGGGCCCCCGGGGGCCCCCGGGGGCCCCCGGGGGCCCCTGAACTGCGGGGCCGCGTCAAGGGCCCTGCAAAAGCCCCCCGGTACCTCCTGCGGGCCCTCCAGCGTCTGCTTACGTATTGCCATCTTGTTGCTGCAGCAGGAGACAGACAGCAGCAGCAGGGAAAGCAAGATATGCAGCTGCTGCCGCAGCTAGCCAGCTCGAGGCAGCAGCAAGGCAGTGCAGGCTGCAGCGCGGGGCCGCGAGGGAGGGGCCGCCACTGAAGTGAGGGGCTGGGCCTACACTAAAGAAGAAGACGCAGCCCATGCAAAACGAAAAACAGTTCCAAATAAGAAAACGGGGCCGAAGGTCACGGTCGCGCTGCGCAGAAGCAGCAGCAGCAGCAGCAGCTGCAGCAGCAGCTGCAGCAGCAGTGGCAGCAGCGCGACTCTCGAGCTGCTGCCGCGCCTAGGCTGCCTTCACGCCTTTTTCGCGCAGCCAAGGCGACGCCAAAGTGAATTTAAAAGAAGTAAAAAAACTGGACAATTGAAGGAGTAGAAACAGCACAGGAAGAGCCGCAGGCAGCCCCCGCTCTGTGGGGTCCATGTGCAGGTTTCAGCAGCAGCAGCAGCAGCAGCAGCAGCTGCAGCAAAATGCTGGCCCCTGTTCTTTCATAAAATGAAGCCTACTAAATAATGAGGAGCAGAACTACGAAATTTAAAACGCATGCCGCAGCCAAACGCGGGCCAGCGAGCGACCAGATCAGCTGGGCCAGGCACACCGCAGCAGCAGCAGCAGCAGCAGCAGCAGCAGCAGCAGCCCACGTGTAATCCTTTAGATATTCAATAACACTGCAATTAAGTGTGCCGCAATATGCAGCTGCTAACCTGCAAAGGCTACAAAGAGCTGACACAAAGCCACAGTGAAGCAGCTGTGGCCGCCCCCCTCCAGCGCTACGAGTGCTGCTGGTTTTTATGTTGCTGCTGCTGCTGCTGCTGCTGCTCTAGCGGACATTGCTTTAGTGAGGAAAAAGTGTTCAGCAGCAACACAAGCAGCAGTAACAGCAACAGCAGCACCAGCAAGGGAGGATCACAGCAGCAAAGTGTTGTAAGAAAGCTCCTAGAAAAGAGTTAGAGGAAAAAAAGAAGAAAAAAGAAAGCAAGAGAGGCAGCGAGAAGACTGCCACTCTGCAGCGCGCCAGACTTTTGCTTCAGTTTTTAGTGCTGAAGGTTTAAAGTGTAAGGTTTAGATCATAACTGTAAGGTTTATATCATAAATAAAGTCTAAGGTTTAGATCATAAATAAAGTCTAAGGTTTAGATCATAAATAAAGTCTAAGGTTTATATCATAAGAAAACTGTAAGGTTTAGATCATTCGTAAACTGTAAGGTTTAGATCATAAGAAAACTGTAAGGTTTATATCCTAAGTAAAGTGTAAGGTTTATATCATAAGTAAACTGTAAGGTTTATATCCTAAGTAAAGTGTAAGCTTTAGATCATAAATAAAGTCTAAGGTTTAGATCATAAGTAAACTGTAAGGTTTAGATCATAAGAAAACTGTAAGGTTTAGATCATACGTAAACTGTAAGGTTTATATCCTAAGTAAAGTCTGAGGTTTATATCATAAGTAAAGTGTAAGGTTTATATCATAAGAAAACTGTAAGGTTTATATCCTAAGTAAAGTGTAAGGTTCAAATCACAAGTAGCACAAGATGGACTTTAATACCCAAAAAGTAAGTTTTAAACTGTAAGGTTTAGATCCTAAGTAAACTGTAAAGTTTAGACCATAAATAGCACAAGATGGACTCTAATGCCCAAAAGTCAAAATTTAAAGTCTAAGATTTATATCACAAGTAGCACAAAGTGGACTTTAATACCCAAAAGGTAAGATTTAAACTGTAAGGTTTAGATAATAAATAGCACAAGGTGGGACTCTAATACCCAAAAGTCAAAGTTTAAAGTGTAAGGTTTAGATAATAAATAGCACAAGGTGGACTTTAATACCCAAAAAGTAAGTTTTAAGCTGTAAGGTTTATATAATAAATAACACAAGATGGACTTTAATACCCAAAAGATAAGTTTTAAAGTGTAAGGTTTATATCATAAATAGCACAAGATGGACTCTAATGCCCAAAAGGTAAGTTTAAGGCCTCAGGCGCTAAAACTTGTTTTGCAATTAGTGCTTGTGGTCAGCATTTCTGGCCCAATTGAGAGTTATTGAAGTTGCCCTGCTAGTGGCAGACTTAGCAGCAGCAGCAGCAGCAGCAGCAGCAGCAGCAGCAGCAGCAAGAGAAGATAGCAGCAGCAAACCCCATATTGCAGCAGATATTTCTGTCTCACAGCTCCAGTGTGTGCCATCGAAGGGAACTCCTCGCAGCAGAACGTTCGAGCTGCTGCTGCAGAGTCCGCCAATGTCAAAATCGAAGAACAGCAGCAGCAGCAGCAGCAGCAGCAGCAGCAGCAGCAGATCTGCCACAGGAAGTGGGGCTTGCAATTGGGTTTTCTTTTCTTAAATGTGCCACGGATTATGGACAAACTGCAAAAAGCTTTCCTTCAATGTATACCAAATCGCTCGGAAAGCTGGGTTTGCTGCTCGTGCTGCTGCTGCTTTTGCTCGGGCTGCTGCTGCTGTTGCTTCTACAGCTCTGCTGCACGTGCACCGCAGCCTGCTGCAGCAGCTGCAGTTCGACTGCTGCGCCTGCTGCTTCTGCTGCAGCAGGTGCTTTGAGCATCCGCATCTGCTGCAGCAGTGGCGCAGTTCTGCTGCAGTTCTGCTGCAGCTCTGCAGCAGCGGCCATTGCCTTCACCTCTACGGCTTTCGCTGCACCTTCTGGTGGTTCTGTTGCCGCTGCTTACAGCAGCAGCAGCAGCAGCAGCAGCAGCAGCAGCAGCAGCAGCGCAGCAAAAGGCGGAAAAAAGGCGCAGCAAGCCGCCAGATTGGAAGCAAATGTTGTTTTATTCTTTTTGATTTTTTTCGAGAAGCTAAAAATCTTTTTTTCGCACTTTTGCAGCAAATGGCGCAGCAGCAAAATGGCCGGAACTCCCGAGTTGTCTGCAGCACTTTGGCTGCTGCTCATCTGCTGCTGGCCAGTTGCTGCGCCTCCGCCCGCTGCTGCTGCTGCTGCTATTTGTGTCTGCTGCTGCTGCTATTTGTGTCTGCTGCTGCTAACTTCATTTGACAATGACTGTGCAGACAAAAAATCTTTTTTCTAGAAAGCAAATGCAGCTGCTAGTAGTTTATAATACGTGCCTTTAAAAAAAAACACAAGTGCTGCTTCTGCGAAGTAATTGGCAGAAATAACTTTCTCAGCTTATGAACTTCGCAGCAAAAAAGGCCCCAGCAGTGGCCAGCTGGCTTTTTAGCTGGAGTCTAAAGGGGCTCTGGAGTGCCCCCAAAACACTCTCAAAGTGCCCAAGTTCGGGGCCCCACACTTCCATTCTGTGCAGCACTTAGTCGAAAAAACAACTCTGGTTTGCCCTCAGCAGATCTAAAAGGATGTTGGTTTATATACGCGCAGATGAAGAAGCATTTGAAAGTAAGGATCTGCAGTTTTGGCTGAGAGGAAAGTAATGTTAATTCAAGCTTGGGACTTCAAACTAAGTTGTTTCCAGTTTCTAGTTGTCGCTGAGCAGCTAATAGTGCAGTTGGGATGCTCTCTTATAGAGAAAATGCATTTTATACTTTTACTTCCGGGCTGCTCTTGAGTTAAAAAGCGGCCATCAGTCTTAGTCTAGTTTTTGCTGTTCCCAACTTCGTCTAAGTCCGGCTGGCTTCACAACAGTTGATAGAATCGAAAGACAAGGCTACCAAGAGGCTATAAATCAAAGAAATTGCTTTACAACTTCGGGCCTGCAGTACTGGGGCCCCAGAGTAAGTCTGGTGGCAGCATTTTCGAGGCCTCCAGTAGGTGGCACTCATCCCAAACTTCACAAACTACGACTTAGGAAAAACTGGCAAGGGGAAACGTTGAAGCAGCAGCATTTGCTGAAGCTTCAGCAGCAGCAGCACAAATTTTAGCAGCTGCAGCACTTTCACTTGCAGCAATCAAAGTACGTACACCTCAGCAACTTGTGCTGCTGAGGTGTACGTACACCGCACGCTGCCCGTGGCTGTTATCAGACAAACGTGAACTCCAAACAAAATTTTTATTTTTATTTATAATATTTACATCCAAAGTCCCCCTTTCCCTCCATTCTGCCTCCCTAGGGGCCCCCTGGGGGGCCCCAAGGGGCCCCCCAGGGGCCCCAAACGAGCAGGTGACCCTGGGCAATAGGCGGACTCAGCGTGTGCTTGGTGTCAAATTGTGCTAAAAACACTATTAAAAAACTGAAATAAAGATAATAAACAATTAAATACCATTTAAACAAATTAATTGACTTTCTAATATGATTTCCAGCACAGAGAGAGCCCCCTCCCGGTGCGGCTCGTCCCGGGAGCCCCCGGGGGCCCCGGGGGGCCCCAGGGGGCCTCCAGGCTGCTGCTGCTGTGTCTGCTGCTCGCTTGGGCTATATAGTGCTTTTTAGAGATTTCTTTTTTTTTAATTTGCATTTATAAAGGGCTGGGGGTTAAAAAAGGGAAAAAAGGGGAATTAAATGCAGTCTGGGAGAGGTTTTGCTGCTGCAGCAGGAGCTGCAGCTGTAGGAGAGGCCCTGCTGCTGCTGCAGGTACAGCGCGCCCCTTAAATCCTCAAGTGGGTTTAATTCGCATTTCTTTTTAATTTATTTATTCTTATTTTCTTTTTATGAGGCAGCAAATAAAAGACTCAGGGGAAGCGACGACATTAAAAAAGAAAAAACAGAAAGACAAAAAAACAAAAAAATAACAAAGATCTCAAGAGATAAGGAAAGACTAGAAGACGAATTCAGAAGCAAAAAGAGTTTTGAAAAAATAAAAAAATAAAAGGAAATAAAAGAAATAAAAGAAAAAATAAAAAGAGAAATAAAAGAAATAAAAGGAAAAATAAAAAGAGAAATAAAAAGAGATTAAAAACGGCGAAAGGGACAAATCAAAGAAAGGCAAAAAAGATAAAAAGAGAAAAAAGAGGAAAAGAGACAAAAAGGAATTGAAAGAAATAAAAAGAAATAAAAAGAGAAACTGAAAAAAGACGAAAGAGACAAAAAAGGAAAAAAGACAAAAGGAGAAAACA